TATTTCTTAGGTTTTTCACATTAGTGAGAACAGAACTGAACCTCTTCCTGACAAAATGTGTTTTATGTTTCCATCAACCTATCACCCTCACTTAACTTCGCCGATTTTTAGGCATGTTTAACTTTTACAGATGTTTCATACCTAAAGCAGTGCATATTCTTCCTTCTTTAATAAAATTGTTAGAAGGACATATCAATAAAAAGAAACCTAGCTCTGGTGTTAAGGATTCATCCTCACTGTTAAATTTGGAAAAAATATTGAACAAGCCTTTATTGCTGTGAAAAATTCCATTGCCCAGGCCCTTCTTTTGAGACACCCTATTTCCAAAGCCCAGATAAGCATCTGGGTATATGCTTTGGACGTTTCAATAGGCAGCACTCTTATGCAGTTCTCTCAACAAACATGGGAATCTATAGAATTTTTCTCTATGAAACTGAACAAAAGTCAACAGAAATGGTTTGCATACAATATGGAATTATTTTCAATTTAAATCTGTGATTAAGAAATTCCAACACATGTTAGAAGGCAGAAATTTTCAAACCTATACGGATCAAAAACCATTAATATATGCTTTTAAGCAGAATCTTCACAAATGTTCACCTTGGCAATTATGCCATTATAATTTCATTTCTCAGTATTCTACTGATATTAGGCATGTGCAAGGTTCTAAAGACATTGTTGCTGAACTTCTTTCGAGAATTGAAATTGATTCCATACAAAATCTCCATTTTTGGATTAAAAAAAATTTCTGAAGCTCAACAGCATGATCAGGAGGTGCAAAACCTTCTCGAAAACAATATGTCATCCTTGAAATTGGAATTGATGAATCCCACATTCAAGACTGCACTCAAATGTTCTCTGGCAAAGCCACATATTCAACACTTGCTTTAGTCCACACCTATCATCAGATATCCGTTTATCCTGATGATATCTAAAAAACTGTCACCACTCATTTTGATCTTTTAGAATTTCTGGCCATGCCATTTAGTAACTCAGGCTATACTTTCCAATGTTTTATACATCAGTTTACTTGTACTAGAGTTTTGCATCCCATATTTTGATGACATCCTTATTGCATCAGCTAAGAAAGAAGAATATATAAGTGCTCTCCATTAAGTACTCGATTATTTGAATAAACACGGTATGACTTTAAACCCTAACAAATGCGTACCTGAAAACCATCAGTTTTCTTCTTAGGTTGCCTCGGGTGTAAAATCCCTGCCCAAGAAAACAAAGACAATGCTGACTTCTTAAAACCTACCACTAGAGTTAAGCTTTATATGCAGAGGCGGGTTAAGCGGCTGGCAAACTTGGTGGCTGCTAGGGGCTTTGAAGGAGCCCTGTGAGCCCACAGTCATCTGGAAATACAAGCTTTTTCTAATTAAAAGAACAAATATCAATTAAAATTGTTTACTACAACTAGCTCAATAAAATAGTGTATTCATTAGCCCATATCATTTAAATGTAAAAAATCGTAAAAGATATGACACTTTAAATTTTGTCACGTTCTATCTTTTTATTTTTGCCTGTTCTTAGAAATTATATATTGAAACATCCCCAAAACAAAAACACCTCTAATTCCAAGCAATTTTGCGCTCCCATATAGGGGATCGCCCATATAGAAAATGATTACCACTGATGCTTCTTTGCTTATTTTCCAAGAAGTGCTGATTTGTTTCAGACACTTTCAGGAAGTGTAGGCTGTGAAAAGCTTCTAAGCCTCTTGTTCGACTATTGATCTTTTACTGACCACTGTGGATGAGCCATTAAGCTTCAAACAACTTCATCATTTTCTAACTAAATCTTCCGGCACTATACACAAAAGTTGTCAATGACCATTATAAATCAAACCTCTGCTATATGGCTCTAACATTTTAAGCAATGCTTGCTCTCTTCAGTATTCAGATTGACTTCTTCAGTGCAGTTTCAGTTTGCTCTGTTAATGTTTATATGGAAAAAAATTACTCCTAACCTTCATTTGTAAAATTGGTAAATATAAGCATTTATAATAATATTTGAATAATATAATGTAATAATATCATGCCCTTTATGATGCTTTCTAATAATGTTCACAATTTAGATGGCATTTCAGTTCTATTGCAATTTTTAAAAAATACAATAACATGAAGATTAATTAGATATAATATTTTGAATAATAAAAAAAATTCTCAAATTAAAATTTTTTTTTAATTTATCTTCATTTAATAAAAATAGAAATTCTTTCTAGTACCTATATTTTAATTTTGGATAAAATTCAATCTTGATAAAACAATGAAACTTTTGGGGGGAAAGTAACCGTAGTGGAGGCTACATCTTTATTTTAAAAATATGTGAAATATGAAACGATACTCATGATAATAAACTGGAACACCATTTTACAGAGAATCAGTGCCACCAACAAATCCCTACAATCAACTCAATGCAACCTATTTAAAGGAGCTATTTATTGCAGAATTCCGTCATGAATTTTTTGCTATAGAAAAAGAAGCAACTTCTATAACATCTATACAACAGTTTATATCTTCCATAGATCGGAACTGCAGGCCCCCACCCCAAAAAGGAAAAAATTTTTAATATGAGTATAGAAGAATCTAAATCACCTTCACAGTGTGAAGATTTTATTTTTAATTCTTTTAATGCTATTTGTGACAATAGTGGAATTTGCTCATAGAAATGAAGTACTTAATAATAATGTTGAAAATTAAAAAATATTCTTCAATTTAAATTTTCCAAATTCGGAACAAAAAGGTCTGCATAGAAAAATTTAAAAAGATTTATAAAGGCAATATAAGTGTTATAGAATTTTATGATGAAGTGCGGCAGATTGTTATTATTTTTAAAAGAAGACAAATTTAGTTCTGCCAGAGAAGTATATCATGTTGCTTGAGAAATGTTATAAACATTTCCAAAAGTAGAAATTACTTTGAAAATTTTTTTGGCCTTTCTAGTTTTCAATGCATCACGAGTAAGATCTTCCTCTGCTTTAAAAAGAATCAAAAACAATTTAAGAAGTACGATGTGATTGATGAATTTGCTAGAATGAAAACAAGGAAAAAATTTACTAAACTTTCTGATTAATAGTTATTTAATTTAATAATCAATTATTTTAATTTTAAAATATTTCAGAAAATGTAGTAGCTGTTTTTATGTTCTACTTTTCTTTCCCATGGAAAATTTAATTTTTTGATATAAATTTTAATTTTTGTGCATTTTATTCTTGATACGCAGTATTTTAGTCTTGAATAATATATTAATAGTTAGAATTAAAAAATTATTTATAATTTTTTATAAAAATATTAAGTAATAGTATGTATTTAATTATACTTCAGTACTAATTACAAACCAATATTTCAAACGCATACGTTAATAAGTTTTCAGGGGGTTCCAAGTATTTTACCGCCACGGGCCCCCAACTGGTTTTGCCCACCCCTGCTTATATGTCTTTTGGCTATGATAAACTTCTATCCTCACTTCTTACACACGGCAGCTGAAACCCAAACTTCTTTGCTTATCTCTTAAAAGATTTAAAGAAAAATGAGAAATGCCCCTTTCCTTGGAATAATCAATTTCATAAAGCATTTGAAAAACGCAAGCATGACTTTATTAATGGGGCAAATCTTAGTTATCATTTACTTAGTCAAAAGCTTAGTATCATGGTCGATACTTCCGTGAGAGCTGTCTTAAACATCCAACACACTAATAACTACCAATAGCTTTTAACACTTTTCTTACAAAAATTCTCTCCCACTGAATAAAAATACAGCACATACAGCAGAGTTACTCTCCATTTAGGCAGCTATAAAATATTTCAGGCATAATACTGAAAGTCAACATTTCACTATATTTGCTGACTATCAACCTCTAACTTATGCATTCATGTCAAAATCAAAACCTACTTCTGTGCAACAAATTAGGCAGTTAAATTATGTAGCTCATTGCAGGACAAACATCCAGCACATAGCTGGCTCCAGAAATATTGTGGCAGATACTCTTTCATGTATTCAAAACATCAATGCAAAAATACCACTGCATTTCACTCTTATTGTTTTCTTGTTAGCCACAGATATGAGCTGAAATATCTCAGTGAAAACTCAAACTGTTCAATGAAATTCCAGTCATTAAAACTTGACACTTCTAACAACAAACCTCGACCTTCCGTACCCCTTTAGAAAAAATGTTTCTGCCTTTTTCCACAATCTATTGCACCCAGGCATTTAGGCTTCCAAAAAGCTTATACAAGAAACATTCATTTGGCCATCCATGCTAAAGGACATTGCCAGTCACACTTATTCCTGTATCATGTGCCAATGTTCCAAAATCATACAGCACACACTGTCCTTTGCGAAAAACTGACATGCCATCCAGCAAATTCAATCACGTTCATATAAACATTATCGCTCCTCTACTTCCTCCCTCTCATCCAGTAGGGGAGAGAATTTGTGACTCATCCTTGACAATTCATCTCTAGCAGCCATCAGGAGAGCATCAAACTGACCTCACTCATGCTGTATAGCACTGGCTTCCTTTTTTTCAACTAGCATGCTTACTACTAACATGGATTCCCACCTATGATTATTCTTTTATGGTACACAGATAAAAATCTGTGTACATGGGCTAAACTCATATTATTTTCTAATTAAAGCAATAGATGTAAAAATAGGCATATTATATTTATCCTTTGCATTAAGACACATCTCTACAGAATGATGACTCTACAATCTCTATTAGGGTAAAACACAATAGGTTGCTAAAGCTATATAACTTATAATACTCATAGAATAATACTTGTAAAATATTGTTATGGAAACAAAAATAAAATAATTTTTTATGTAATTAACTAAACACTGCATTACAATATGCACTTTAATATCACTAAAAATACATGAAAAATCATATTGCGGTTTTTTTAAAACATCTTTTTATCACATGTGTGATTTTATTGCAAAGTAAATGAAATACCACCTCTCTGAGGAGTTAAAAAAAAGAATGAAAATACTTACTTTCCTTAACTTCTTGGTCATGTACAGAGTCTTTTACATTCTGTTTTTGAGCTTTGAGTGAGGCCAGATGCTTTGCAACAGATTCTGGAAGTGCTGAAATTTCAAAAATTAAATGTGTAATTTGCAAAAACCCATATAAATGTTTACACAAATGCTCAAAACTTAAAAACAAGCATCATTATGTAAAATTATTGATGCAAACTCCAAAGAATCAACTTATGGCAGTTTGAATAGTTAAAATAAATGCTACAGAAAGACAGTAAACAGGCAGATATTTTATTATCACGTTTATGGATTACATGTTAAGTCAAAAGCAGGTGAAAAGGAAACTGAACTTGGACAAGTTTTCCCAAAGATTTTAACATGAAAGAAAGTCTGTGAATGTAATATTTTTCTCTTTTTCTAAAGTTTCAAATTCTGATATGTCAAAGACATCATTTGATGATTTCACACATAGAAGGAATGGTTACAAGAAAACTGAAAAAATATATCACAATCACCAAATTTGCAGTGAAATTTGGACTCCAGGATTTAGGTAATATTACAAATGACTGAAATGTATTTAACTGGCTGTTGATAAGTTCCTAATTCAAACTCTGAATGTCGTGAAGCTTTTGTGAATGCCAGACACCACCTTTTTTGATATTCGGCCAGATATTCTAAACTGTTCGGGAATAAATGGTCTGATGTTAGAAGATGACTTATCACACCCCATATTTTTACCAGAAGCAAGTAGCTTTTGAAATTTAATGTTCTGTTCTGAGTTTGTAAATCTTAGAATTCTTTATCATTGAGTTGGCTATCATCAGTTTTATCACAATGAGGGAAATATAGATATTGGCTATTCTCGATAACTGATCTGAATAATGTTTACACTTCTGATAATATGGCATATATTAGTAGAAAATTGAGAGAGATATTGCAGTTGTCAAATTTTCCTTGGTGATGCTTTTTCACTATTTTGTCTAAACAAATACTAGAGATTTGAAATCACGACCTTTTAACATAGGTTTAAAATGTTTAATTACAAGATATATTCCTAATAACATACAGTCATAAGTACTAAATTATTCTTATTGTTACTTAATTATTTTAATAAAATGTTATAGTTTTAATACAATGTTTCCATGCTTTTTACTTTCAAACTGTTGGAGAACTGCACCAATAGCCAATCAGATGGATCTGTGCACAACGACAAAGGCAAATCTGAATTGAGAAAACTTAAAAGACCTGCATTAGCTAAATCCTGTTTTTCAGTTCAATTTAGCTTCATTGGTCTATTTAATTTTTTTCTGCAGTCTTTTTTCTCAGAACCCTTTGGGTATTCATAAGGAATTGCCCATGTCCTACCAGCAACATTCAAAAGTAGTCAGTAAAATTTAAGTGTCCCTAAGTCCTCAGGTGATGGATGGTCTCCAGTAATTTACAGATCAATATCGTTTCGGCTTTTTCAGGCAGCCGCCCAGACGGTATAGTGGTTAGGAAAGCCTGACTGTGATACCAAAGTGCTCGGATTTGGATCCCGGAGAAGGCATAGCCTGTCTCTTCATAGGAGGTAATGGTGGCCACCTATTATGTGCCTCCACAATAAAGTGGCCACCACTTCTAGCCTTGGTAGTGGCCAATGCCGTTATAGGCAAGTGTCTGCCATAGTTAAAAGTATTTAAAAGGAAAAAAAAGTTTTCAGGCAGAGGACGAGATCTTTCTGTTCTTATAAGATATCATAAAAAAATTAAGTTAGCAGCTACCATGATTGACTTAAAAATGTTAATTCTCAAGCCATAGTCGTCTAATCTATTGAAAACAAGTTTCAGGTGATGTCAATGTTCTTTTTCTGAAGAAGATGTAATTAATACCATCTAGATATGGGAAAGTAAAGTCCAAACCTTAAAACACATCATGTATAAATATTTAAGTAGCTGGTGTATTTCACAATCCAAAGCTGAATGACCACATTCATACATGCTGAGTGACATTTTTATGGCAGATTTCTGTTTACCTCTTTAGCTATACAAATTCGAAAATATGAAATTTGGAAATTGTTTTTCTTATTCAAAATGCAGTTAAAATCATCAATCCTAGGAATGGGCTTTCTGCCAGGAATAGTGATAGCATTACGTCTCTTATAATCACAGGGGTGAAAGGTTCCATCCTTTTTACAGACTAAAAGGACTAGCTCAAGATGTAGAATGTCTTTTTATATTATTTTCCTACATATTACTCCCTCTATACTCCATATTTTTTACTCCCTCTTTAGATGGATTTGGTCACTTGCCCCATATTTTGGGGATCTTATGGTATGATCTGGGCTGATGTTGAGACTTCTGCTAAATTTTATTTTCAAAACCCCATCTTGTCCTTAAATTTTGCTAACCAGTAAAACTATGGCACCATGATGAATGATCTCTACTGTAAAAAGTTATTTAATGCTATCCTATTTGTTTTAGAGCACCAGTGGTAAAGCAACTGATTTTATGGGTAATTTTGCAATGCCATTAAGAAATCCTGGGAAGTGAGGGCATCTGTCAAATCAACTGGCCTACATGATCCCCGCACCTTAATCCCACTGCACATGTATGGGTTATTATGGGAAGATGAAGTACAGCTCACAGTCCTTTCCTAGAAAACAAGCAAGGCCTAATCCTTATTCCAAAAGAGAAATAGGACAATTTGCTCCAAGAACTTTTATGGACAACAGCACTGTGATTACTGCATTACAGTCTCAGTTGGACATATTCTTTGTTGAGAAGTCAAATTGCTAAGCACTAGAAAGTACATTTTCTGCATCCTTTACTCCTATACATAATTTTTCTGAAAACGACTTGCTGTGACTGTTTTTATTTCTTATTTTCAACATGTTGCTGGTTTTTGTCTAAGGTTTTTCTGGTCTGGGTACCAGGAAATAAACACCTTGTCATAAACAGTTTTGCCTTCTATCATTATCCAATTTTCTTGATACAAACAAAAACTTCAATTCCCTCAATTTTATAATGTGTTTCATTACATGTGTATTTTTAATAGTTTGCTAATACAGTGCTAATCAAAAGTCATGCAGCTTAGATATGCTAATTCTGAACAATTTAAAATACTACAAACTGCTTTAAGGAACATAAACAGACAATAATTTACCATATAAGGGTGAAATTAATGCATATTTAAGATATTTTGTAGCAAACTCGCTTAGAATTATAGTTATCAGGCAGTCATAAAATTAGAGCACATATATAAATATTGCATTTTTTTATTAATGCTACTTTATTTTCAGTATTGAAGTTATAAAACTGATTAAAGACATGAATTAAACTTCAGTGACTTACCAGCAGATTAGTATACAGCTTAATATCAGTAGTCAGTAATTAATATAAACATGCAGCTTATATGAAAGTACTGGGGTAGATAAAAAGTATGTGTAAAAATTATGCAAGAAAAATTTTCTTTCAACTGGAAAACTATATAATATCAATCTTTGCTTACTTACCTTTAAAAGGTTTTTCTGCAATTATAATATTTAAACCATAAGGGGGGGGAACTTATTTCATAACAAAAGACTATAAAAAATTTTATTTACAAAAATCCACATTAATATATATTTTGGTTAAATTACATATACATTTTGGCTAAATTACATATCAATGACTTTTTCATAACGCTGAATTTTTTATAATGCATATCACTACAAATAAGCAACAGTGCCCAAATGGCATGAATGAAGCTCAAAGTTAACATTCTGTTCTTGACATGACCCTCTCGATAATTTGTTTAATTATTTTTAATCAAAACACAAGTAATGGTGTTTTTGTACCATTTTTACATCATATAAAATATGAGTATTATAGACTGTAATTTCGAGGAACCTAAAACATAATTTTTTATACCATTTGAATAATTTTCTGTAAGATGGATAATGCATAGTGACTGCATCACTAATATCTACTTCTCCCATATTTGTATTGTACTGCAACATACAGCTTGGTTTCTTAATACTTTCTCCTATTTTGTTATTTGGTTTACCAGAATCTTCTATTTGGTGTCCATGCATTGTAGTTAAAAGCAACACCTTCTTTTTATCTTCAAATGTAATCAGATACACACACTACCCAACATTGAAAATTCAACACCAAGAAGGAGTGACCTGAAAATTATGCAAATTTTAGGGTAGCTGCATGTGTGAACAATGTGAAATGTGAAGCTCTTCATCACACTTTGAAGAAGATATAAGGGAAGGAACCTGCAGAATGTTCAATTTTTGTGTTGTTATTTCTGCTATGGAAATCATAGTAGAAAATTTGTTTTTCTCTCAGAGGACACATGTAACAGCAGAGAATGTCAGGCATAATCAATGGATGCAGTTCCAGCAGACAGATGTTTTTAAGAGGGGAATGATTATTAGACTGAGAAAGGCAGGTTGGACCATACGGAAAATCTCAGCTGACACACACCTAGATGCGTCCACAGTGAACCAGCTGTGGCAACCGTTGAGGGGTTCCAGTACAGCCAGAGTGATGTCAGCAACCAGAGCAACATTTACCTCCATTCTGCAGCATGTTCAAGATACCCTGGATGTTCTCATATCGACCAGAACCATTTTCTGTTGATTAGTGGCTAGTGGCCTGCATTCCTGGAATTCATTAAAAAGACTACCATTAATCCCACATCATGCAATGATGCCGGGTTCGAGCAATGTGGACGCTGGAACATCATCACAAGGTCATGTTCTCAGACAAGTCATGTTTTTGTTTCTTTAATAATAGTTGCCGTGTATGAGTGTCGTATCGATGTGGAGACAGGTACAATCCAGCAGCAATTGTGGAACATCCCACAGCATGACAATGCGGCATCGTGGTTTAGGGTAAAATTGCATATGATTCCAGGTGACCTCTAGTTCATATTCAGGGCACTATGATGGCCTAACGATACGTGAATTATGTGTTGCGGCCAGTGACACTTCCCTACATTCAAGGTGTGCTCAACAGCAGAATAACACCCCGACCACACACTACTTGCATCAGACAATGTTCTCCGTGAGGTGGACAGATGTTTCCCCAGCCACCGGTCTCTTCTGATTTATCACCATTCGAATACATTTGGAATGTGATTGCATGCCATTTGCAGACCATGCCGTTGTTACATTCAGAAGATGAACTGTGGCAAATAGTTGACAAGGAATGCAGACCATTCCTCAGGACACCATCCATAGTCTCATCGACTCTGTACCTACACGTGTTGCTTTGTGTATCGCCGTATAAGGTGGTCCTACAACCTACTGAGATGATTCTGTAATATGCATATCATTTCCAAATAAAGATAGATCACTTATTGTCTCTCTCTGTTTACTGCGTTTCATCACTTTCTGGTCACTCCTTGGTGTTGCAATTTTAATGTCCGGAAGAGTATTTTTACTACACATAGTTTCTACATCATTTTATCTCATTCATTTTTATGGGAAATTTTTGGCAGATCTTTCCTTGTTTCCACGATTGAGCCACAAACATTCTCTTTTGTATCATATAAATATAATGGAAGTGAAGTGAAAATGCTATCCAGATATAAATGCATCCTTTTCCCAAAAAGCTCATTTATGAAGGTTTCCCAAATGTTTTCGTCTAACAGGCCACTTCTTGCTGTAAGATTGGTATCTTTGCCTGTATATATTAAAAAGTTCCAAATATAACCTGTATCAGATTCACTTAGTTTATATATTTTAACACCATATTGCGACTGTTTCGATGGAAACTATTGTCTAAAACTAAGCCTGCCTTTCCACATAAACAAAAATTCATCAAGGGATACATTCTTTTTCAGTTTACACACATTTTAAAATTTTTGTACAAGTGGCTCAATAATTGGTTTTAGGGTATCCAATTTTTTAAGCACTACTGTCTGGTGTAAAGTGAGGATATTACAATATCTTTAAATATTTATCTCTTGACATTTTATTAAAAAATGGAGTAGCATTTATCAAATTTGTTTTAAAGTACATTTTTAGATCCGATATTTTTATTATACCTATTAGCATATTTAGTTCTAAAAAACGTTCTCTTCTTCAGGTGACACAGGACTGAAATGAGAAGGACCAGGAGAATCTCAAGATGACCCACTGAAGTTTGGATCTCATAAGTCAAAATTTGCAAAATTATTTGTTTGTTCCATAATTAAATTTATTAAGTCATCAACAAATATGCAAAAGAACTTCTTTATCACAGTCACCATCTATTGCATTGTAACTTACAGCAGGTATATCAATGTAAGCATGCGGCTGTAAATATTTTAGTGTACGAGACATTTTTAGATCCGTTTTTTTATTATACCATTAGCATATTTAATACTTAAAAAAAATGTTCACTTCTTCATGGGACTGAAATGAGAAGGGCCAGGAGAATCTCAAGATGACCCACTGATTATGTCATTTATGGATGGAGCAGACAGATGTCAAGGTAAATGGATGCAGTTATGAATCTGATAAAAAATCCATATCAGAATCGGATAATTCACTGCTAAAACTGATGACATCGCTTCTACATAGATCTTCTTGTATTAAAACTGTATACTCAGCTTCCGATAGATATCTGTTTTGTTTTGACACCTTAACGCACCCCCCCCCAAAAAAAAACTTATATTTACACAAAAGAAAGAACACACCCTACTCTACATAAGGAAAGAAGAAACTAAATAAAAACTGCACTAACATGAGATACTCTTCCCTCAAAAAGGCCCTCGAAAGAAATAAACAAAAATGCAAGCATGTAAGACCCAGCACTCTTGTTTTGCATTACTGAATCCTGCTGTCTACCTTTCAAAATTAAATGAAAAATCCAAGATCAAAGTTAAGGAATCATAATTCCTATTCATCTTGGTGATCTGTTAGAATTTAAAATATTTACATTTTGTTTCATGTGATTATCATTATATACATTACAGCAGTGTACCTAGGCACTAATCCTTCGAGATGCAAACGTCACACCTGCCATAGATGAACCAAATTCACCCATACAGAAAAGGTCAAGTCATTTTTGGTACTGCCTAAAAAATGCCTAATGTGTAAATGTCTTCATTTATTGTCACTTGTGTAATATCCCCACTATTTACGCCCTATGATGCAAGCATATTACTGCAATCGATATTGATCTATGAGTGATGCTGAACTCGTGTACATGCTGAGTAAAGTTTTTTAAACATTGAAAGGTGCAGATTTTAACAATGAATATTGTTCTTGTTTATTTAAATAAAGGAAGAATAGTTATGTTTCTTCTGTGCATCTATTTTTGCATTGCTTTCTGTTCCTCTGCCAGTCACAGTAATAGATAATAAACATAGAAAATGAAAACGAATATGAACAAAATGTAGCAGAACAAAATCGATATCAGAAATTGAAGACAATGATTTTAGTTATGACATAATTACTTTATTAATAAGCACATACCACTCAATGCTATGGATTAAATAGACATAAAACTTTCAATATTATCATCATGTGAAATCTAAATATACTCGAGAAGGAATAATGACTTTAAATATTAGCAATCTGGGAGGGGAACAGGAAGGACTTGAGAGGTCAATGTGAGAGAACACTGAAAACAATTATGGAAGTTCATGGGAAATAATTATTAGCAGTCAACTTAGTTATTTTTTCAAATAACTTTCAAATTACTGTTGTTTCGAAGCTTTATTAAAGTTGACTGCTTTATTTGGCTCATAGTTAATATTTATAATCTCCTTCATACAAGATATGAATTCAGCAACAAATTACTTTTTAAATGATTTACATATGAATATGCAAAGCATAACATTGTTAAAGTTAAAACAAAAATACTGATATTCAAATTACGATTGCCTCTCATGCGTCAATTTTTAAACATTTTATGAAGTTGCTTTCAGTTTTTAAACATTTTATAAAAAATCAAAAATATTCATAAGCAAATAACTTACTGGAAATATTATTCAGAGGCCAATGCACTGATTTAAAGCCATTTTGAGCCCAATATATTAGATCTTCATTATTTTCATACTGATACTGAGCTCTACTTGCTAAAATCTATTCCAAAGGTAAATATTTTTTCACCATTAGTTAAAAATGCCTTTTTCTATGAATTTAACATAAAACACATAAATGCGAATAATAACGGAATATACTAGATATGAAATATTTATACAATACCACAATGCAGCCGTTGCCAAAAATTAATCTAAATCTTAAATGACTCAGCAATCATATATGCAAAGATTTCAAAATTAAAACACACATGGCATTAACACAAATTTTAACAAATTCTAAAAAAGAAAAAACGATCCTTGAGAAACAATATGAACAATAAACACATCAAAATTATTGAAATAAATGAAGATAAAAATCCTAATAGTACCTTCATTTTACAGGAAATCTTAGTATTTGCTTTCAAATAGATTTAAATTATTCATCTAATACAAATAATTATATGTAAGCATTTAATATAGTTATATCTTGTTTATATTTTGTTCATATATCAAAATAATTTCAATCCGCCCAAAGCATAAACCTACATAAATCCAATAAGTATAAATTTGTACACAGAAAATCAGATGCAGCAGCTAAACCTATTAAACGTCCACTTAAAAATTTTAGTGCTTTCAAAATATCTGATTTTTTACATACGTGGAAAATTAAAAGAGTATTTGAAATTAAAGAATATGATTTCAAGAATGTGTTTAGTATTTTTATCTAATGAAGTTGCAAAAATTGCCAAAGATTTCTCTAACTTTATCCTTCATATGATTCTACAATACCACACTTCAATATTAATATATCTTAATAAAAGAATACTCAACTTACTAAATAATTTACAGTTTTAACATTACAAATTTCAGGACACAATTCTCAAAAATACACCTCTGTTACAAGAACATAGTTTATATTTTAGTCTCAAAAAAGAAGCTTACTTCAGTTCGGTTAGTTTTTCATTTTTATTAAATTACCCATTTATGAAGCAAAGCTCACTGACATTTCAAAAATATCAATTTATATTCCGGTCAAGATTTTTCTTATGCAAACATATTTATATCATTCTTATGTATTTCCCCTGAAGTACTGCTAGAATAATCATTAAGACATAACTGTCAAATACATTTTTTTAACTTGCTTTGAAGGAATACTGATAATTTGATTCTCAATTCGCATTAAAGACTGCATCATTCATTTTAATGTAAATTTATGCACAGAAGAGTATGTCTACTTTTCACTCAAAGTGTCATATTAAATCAAACAAATGTATAAGGTAAAATGATCAGTTTGATATTTTATTACATAAAATTACCTTTTAAAATATTCATATATAACCAACTTATTTACTATAGTTAAAATATATTAATACTAATTTTTTATTTAGGAATAAGATCTATTCTATTTACAGCAGGAAATAAGGAAAATTATGTTTCCTTAGTTAGTAGTCTTTAGTAATTTTTAGTAAGAACTAGAAGAATAGCGAAAATAATTGTTGAAAAACACAAGCAAAAAATTATGAATATAATTAACCCTTTGCGGCCGAGTGTGTCCGCTCTGGACACACATAAAAATTTCCTTCTGTACGCACAGAAAAATTGAATAAAAAAGGATTTATAGGTTACTATAGGTTACTCTTAAACTTCTTTATTTATAGTAGATGGCAGCTCAACACGAACCAGTCCACATATTTTAGCCATGTTTAGTTTTTTTAAGACCCTCATTTTTCAAAGAAATCTTCCAAAAATTTTTTAGGGTATAAAAGGAATTGTTTGAAAAGAAATGTTCTATGTTTTTTGGCTGTAAGCTAATCTCCTTCCTTTATTAGTTTTTAAATTTACTTGAAATCTTGCTAATCAAACGGCGAACCTAGGTGTCCCGGAGGGGTCACCTCACTAACCCAACGAGAGTCTGTTCTTTGTTCTCCGCACTCATGGTCAGTTCTTGACAACATGCTCATTTCAGCACTCTTTTCAAAATTAAACTTTACACCCACAGAATTAAACGATAAGTGCTATCTTCACAAAATTTTACTTGTGTACTCCTCTAGGCCTAATTAGACTGCCTACCCTTTTTTTAAATCAAACCTCCAACTTTAAAAGGTAGTGTGTTGGAAAGGGTTAAATAAGAATCGAGAACATTACATAACCATAATAATACAATGTTAGCTCATTATTTACAGTCAGTTTATGTGCTACAAGTGGTCTGCTGGTCTGTGCTGTTTTTGTTCAGAAGCCATTATGCATTTTTCTAGCATGTTATAATCAGTCATACAGATGGAATGTTGAAGTTAGTTGTAAATGAAAAGGAATTCATAATAAAATTTCATACCTAATGCAGATTACAGATTTCATAGAATATAGCATTTTCTTTACACTTTAAACAAAGCAACAAAGATTATGCTCCCTCCTTTTAATGAGCAGAAATATTTTGTGAGAAATTCATTGTACAACACAATCCATAACTGACTACTGTTAGCAAAGAAATGCACATGTTGTACATACAGCAAAATCACATTTCATAAAGTTAACTTTCTATGGAAAAGATAGGTTAGGACTAGTTCAGATCTAAAATGCTAAAATAAAGTTCCAAAATGCTAAAATATTTCAGTTACTTGAGCTTTCTGGTCAGTTGAATGCCAAATAGTCAGGCATATCTGGCATTCAACTGACCAGAAAGTAACTATAACATATATACAGGCACTGTTAACATATATACAGGGTGATCTGCTATCAGACTGACAAACTTGCAGGGCTTGTAAGTGGTACAGAGACAACTCAGAATCACATAGGAATGCAGGGTCGAAAATGCCACAGTTGCAAGCTATGGTGCAAAGATACAGAGAAAAAGAACAAAAACAGCAACACATTAATGGGACAGAAAATATTTCATTGAAAGATTGTACCAAAGGGTTGGGACAGAAAATAATGGAACAGAAAATATTTCATTGAAAGATTGTATCAAAATAGTTTACTGAAAGATTGTACCAAAGGTATTCGAAATTACGACCAGAAGTCGTCAGGCAAGTCTGACAATTAGGCAAGTCTGGCAAGTCTACAATGAATCGACAGCGAACGACAAGGACACCTGGCAATGAGGAGGTGGTCTTACATCTGGCAGAAGACAATTCAAGTATGAGTATCAAGTAGGAGCTCAAAAAGTGGGCTTATCTCGATCCATTGCCTGGAGGATACTCGCAGCAAACCAAATAAGCACATACCATCTTCATCATGTCCAGTTATTAGAGACTGAGAATTTGCCACTCCGGAGGACATTTGCTACATGATTCCTGCAACAGAGTGCATTAAACAACACATTTGCTGCATCCGTATTGTTCACAGATAAAGCATGCTTCACACGTGAGGTAGTCTTCAATCAGCATAATGCCCATGTGCAGCTCAAGAGCATTTCTTGATCAATGTTTGGGCCAGCATTCTTGGAGACTACCTCATTGGACCATAACTTCTGGCCAGTCCATTGGATGGTAGGGCATACCTTATCTTCTTGATGCAGTTCCTCTGTCCTTGCGCCACTCCATGTAGTACCAGCATGACGGGGCTTCTTCAGATTATACGACTGACATCTGCCGACACCTCGAAAACCTTCGGACAGTGGTGGATAGGTTGTGGTGGCCTGGTTCATTGGCTTACTAGATCACCAGACATATCATGTATGGACTTCTGCTGTCAAATGAAGAGTTTGGTATACGAGATGGCCATTCCTGCAGTTGACGACCTCGTCACATGAATACCTGGAGCTGCCAGGAGGATATGTGACATGAAAGGAATCTTCCAGAATGTAAAAAATTCCATGAAGCATTGTTGTCAGGCCTACCAGATGACTTTTGGTCGTAATTTTGAACACATGTTGCAGCATAACCTTTCAACAAAATGTTTTCTGCCCCATTAAAGTTTCAATAATTTGTTTAATTATTGAAACATTCATGTTCCTATCCCATTAATTTTTCAGTTCTTTTCACCATAGCTCACAACTACAGCATTTGTGACAATGCATTCCTATGTGAATCAAAGTCATCTCTGTACACCCAAGACACCCAGCAAGTTTGTCATTCTGGTAGCGAATCACCTTGTATACATACACACATACAATGACTAAATACCAAATAGAAAGCTGTTCAAAACCTAATCCAATTATGCGCTGATAACTGGAACAACTGGTGGCAATAACTAATAAAAACTTTCAAAGCCCTCTCGTATTTAACCCAGAGCAAACCATTAGTATCGAAGTCATGAAAAATGAAATCAGTGAAATAATAAGAAAAAAGTTACTGAACATTTTGGTATATAATGCATTCTGGTGTATAAACATGCACCTATATTTCAAATTATATATATTTTTATTTTTAGGCATATTTGCTGTATTGTGCACACCCTTTTCTCAATGAAGAATTTTGAAAGATATATACATGCAATGCTCTTACCTTTTGAAGTTATTCATTCGAAGATTTTTCCCAGTCTTTCGAACAATACCATACGGAATTGACAAGCAATAAGGAGAATAATATGTGTGTCTGGGGGGAGTAAATAATGCTGCAAAGGAGATGGGTTTTATTCAATTCAGATGTGCACATGAATGTTATTCTGGGTTTTCAAAAAAGGGGGATATAATGTTAAGCAACCCCTCAGGGGCTGAAAGGCTAGGGTACCTCAGGATTGCCATACCCGTACTTACCCGTATGGGTATGGCAATCCTGAGGTACCCTAGCCTTTCAGGGGATCATCTTCTCGGTAATATGGGTGTCACGATCCTGGAGCCCCAGTGATCTGTTCTCTTTGTCTCCTCTCCTCTGAGCTGAAACTTTTTCCTTTCCATTCTCCCTTGCGGTTTTCCTCTTAGGAGGTTGGGGCTCCTCATGAGATACTAGAACAGCCCTTGTCTCTAGTTTTCGAGTGGCGAGAAAACTGCCCCCATGTTTGCCGTGTGTGGAAACCAGTGTCGCTAGAAAGGAGGCGAGGTACTGTCCCCAACACATTGCTTTGGCCCCTGCTTTAGCTAAATGGGAAGCACCTTGTTGTCTTCATGAGTATCAATTGGCTGGT